ACCTGGCTGGGAACGTGGGTGAGTACCTGGCTGGGTACGTGGGTGAGTAACTGGCTGGGTACGTGGGTGAGTAACTGGCTGGGTACATGGGTGAGTACCTGGCTGAGTAGGTGGTTGAGTACCTGTCTGGGTACGTGGGTGAGTACCTGGCTGGGTACATGGATGAGTAACTGCCTGGGTACGTGAGTACCTGGCTGGGTACGTGGTTGATTACCTGGCTGGGTAGGTGGGTGAGTAACTGGCTGGGTATGTCGGTGAGTACCTGGCAGGGTAGGTGGGTGATTACCTGGCTGGGTACGTGGGTGAGTACCTGGCTGGGTACGTGGGTGAGTACCTGGCTGGGTACGTGAGTACCTGTCTGTGTACGTGGGTGAGTACCTGTCCGGGTACGTGGGTGAATACCTGGCTGGGTACGTGGGTGAGTACCTGGCTGGGTAGGTGAGTACCTGTCTGGGTACGTGGGTGAGTACCTGGCTGGGTACGTGGGTGAGTACCTGGCTGGGTAGGTGGTTGAGTACCTGGCTGGGTAGGTGGGTGAGTATCTGGCTGGGTACGTGGGTGAGTACCTGGCTGGGTACGTGGGTGAGTACCTGGCTGGGTAGGTAGGTGAGTACCTGTCTGGGTAGGTGAGTACCTGTCTGGGTACGTGGGTGAGGACGTGGGTGAGGACCTGGCTGGGTAGGTGGGTGAGTACCTAGCTGGGTACGTGAGTACCTGTCTGGGTACGTGGGTGAGTACCTGGCTTGGTAGGTGAATACCTGTCTGGGTACGTGAGTGAGTACCTTGGTTGGTACATGGGTGAGTAACTGGCTGGGTACGTGAGTGAGTACCTGGCTGGGTATGTGGGTGAGTAACTGGCTGGGTACGCGCTGAGTAACTGGCTGGGTACGTGGGTGAGTACCTGGCTGGGTACGTGCGTGAGTACCTGGATGGGTCCGTGGGTGAGTACCTGGCTGGGTAGGTGGTTGAGTACCTGGCTGGGTACATGGATGAGTACCTGGCTGGGTAGGTGGGTGAGTACCTGGCTGGGTAGGTGCGTGAGGACCTGGCTGAGTAGTCGTGTGAGGACCTGGCTGAGTAGGCGGGTGAGTACCTGGCTGGGTACGTGGGTGAGGACCTGGCTGGGTAGGTGGGTGAGTACCTGGCTGGGTACATGGGTGAATACCTGGCTGGGTAGGTGGGTGAGTACCTGGCTGGGTAGGTGGGTGAGTACCTGGCTGGGTACGTGGGTGAGTACCTGGCTGGGTAGGTAGGTGAGTACCTGTCTGGGTAGGTGAGTACCTGTCTGGATACGTGGGTGAGGACCTGGCTGGGTAGGTGAGTGAGTACCTGGCTGGGTAGGTGAGTACCTGTCTGGGTACGTGGGTGAGTACCTGGCTTGGTAGGTGAATACCTGTCTGGGTACGTGGGTGAGTACCTGGCTGGGTACATGGGTGCGTAACTGCCTGGGTACGTTAGTGAGTACCTGGCTGGGTACGTGGGTGAGTACCTGGCTGGGTACGTGGGTGAGTACCTGGCTGGGTACGTGGGTAAGTACCTGGCTGAGTAGGTGGTTGAGTACCTGTCTGGGGACGTGGGTGAGTACCTGGCTGGGTACATGGATGAGTAACTGCCTGGGTACGTGAGTACCTGGCTGGGTACGTGGGTGAGTACCTGGCTGGGTAGGTGGGTGAGTAACTGGCTGGGTACGTCGGTGAGTACCTGGCTGGGTAGGTGGGTGATTACCTGGCTGGGTACGTGGGTGAGTACCTGGCTGGGTACGTGGGTGAGTACCTGGCTGGTTACGTGAGTACCTGTCTGTGTACGTGGGTGAGTACCTGTCTGGGTACATGGGTGAATACCTGGCTGGGTACGTGGGTGAGTACCTGGCTGGGTAGGTGAGTACCTGTCTGGGTACGTGGGTGAGTACCTGGCTGGGTACGTGGGTGAGTACCTGGCTGGGTACGTGGGTGAGTACCTGGCTGGGTAGGTGGTTGAGTACCTGGCTGGGTACATAGATGAGTACCTGGCTGGGTACGTGGGTGAGTACCTGGCTGGGTAGGTGGTTGAGTACCTGTCTGGGTAGGTGAGTACCTGTCTGGGTACGTGGGTGAGGACGTGGGTGAGGACCTGGCTGGGTAGGTGGGTGAGTACCTGGCTGGGTACGTGAGTACCTGTCTGGGTACGTGGGTGAGTACCTGGCTTGGTAGGTGAGTACCTGTCTGGGTACGTGAGTGAGTACCTGGCTGGGTACATGGGTGAGTAACTGGCTGGGTACGTGAGTGAGTACCTGGCTGGGTACGTGGGTGAGTACCTGGCTGGGTAGGTGGGTGAGTAACTGGCTGGGTACGTGGGTGAGTACCTGGCTGGGTAGGTGGGTGATTACCTGGCTGGGTACGTGGGTGAGTACCTGGCTGGGTACGTGAGTAGCTGTCTGTGTACGTGGGTGAGTACCTGTCTGGGTACGTGGGTGAGTACCTGGCTGGGTACGTGAGTGAGTACCTGGCTGTGTAGGTGAGTACCTGTCTGGGTACGTGGGTGAGTACCTGGTTGGGTACGTGAGTACCTGTCTGTGTACGTGGGTGAGTACCTGGCTGGGTACACGCTGAGTAACTGGCTGGGTACGTGGGTGAGTACCTGGCTGGGTACGTGGGTGAGTACCTGGATGGGTCCGTGGGTGAGTACCTGGCTGGGTACATGGGTGAGTACCTGGCTGGGTAGGTGGTTGAGTACCTGGCTGGGTACATGGATGAGTACCTGGCTGGGTAGGTGGGTGAGTACCTGGCTGGGTAGGTGCGTGAGGACCTGGCTGAGTAGTCGTGTAAGGACCTGGCTGAGTAGGCGGGTGAGTACCTGGCTGGGTACGTGGGTGAGGACCTGGCTGGGTAGGTGGGTGAGTACCTGGCTGGGTACGTGGGTGAGTACCTGGCTGGGTAGGTAGGTGAGTACCTGTCTGGGTAGGTGAGTACCTGTCTGGGTACATGGGTGAGTACCTGGCTTGGTAGGTGAATACCTGTCTGGGTACGTGGGTGAGTACCTGGCTGGGTACATGGGTGCGTAACTGCCTGGGTACGTGAGTGAGTACCTGGCTGGGTACGTGGGTGAGTACCTGGCTGGGTACGTGGGTGAGTACCTGGCTGGGTACATGGGTGAGTACCTGGCTGAGTAGGTGGTTGAGTACCTGTCTGGGTACGTGGGTGAGTACCTGGCTGGGTACATGGATGAGTAACTGCCTGGGTACGTGAGTACCTGGCTGGGTACGTGGGTGAGTACCTGGCTGGGTAGGTGGGTGAGTAACTGGCTGGGTACGTCGGTGAGTACCTGGCTGGGTAGGTGGGTGATTACCTGGCTGGGTACGTGGGTGAGTACCTGGCTGGGTACGTGGGTGAGTACCTGGCTGGTTACGTGAGTACCTGTCTGTGTACGTGGGTGAGTACCTGTCTAGGTATGTGGGTGAATACCTGGCTGGGTACGTGGGTGAGTACCTGGCTGGGTAGGTGAGTACCTGTCTGGGTACGTGGGTGAGTACCTGGCTGGGTACGTGGGTGAGTACCTGGCTGGGTACGTGGATGAGTACCTGGCTGGGTAGGTGGTTGAGTACCTGGCTGGGTACATGGATGAGTACCTGGCTGGGTATGTGGGTGAGTACCTGGCTGGGTAGGTGGGTGAGGACCTGGCTGAGTAGGCGGGTGAGGACCTGACTGAGTAGGCGGGTGAGTACCTGGCTGGCTACGTGGGTGAGTACCTGGCTGGGTAGGTGGGTGAGTACCTGGCTGGGTACGTGGGTGAGGACCTGGCTGGGTAGGTGGGTGAGTACCTGGCTGGGTACATGGGTGAGTGCCTGGCTGGGTAGGATGGTGAGTACCTGGCTGGGTAGGTGGGTGAATACCTGGCTGGGTACGTGGGTGAATACCTGGCTGGGTACGTGGGTGAGTACCTGGCTGGATAGGTGGGTGAGTACCTGGCTGGGTAGGTGAGTACCTGTCTGGGTTCGTGGGTGAGTACCTGGCTGGGTACATGGGTGAGTAACTGCCTGGGTACGTGAGTGAGTACCTGGCTGGGTGCGTGGGTGAGTACCTGGCTGGGTAGGTGGGTGAGTAACCTGCTGGGTACTTGGGTGAGTACCTGGCTGGGTAGGTGGGTGGTTACCTGGCTGGGTATGTGGGTGAGTACCTGGCTGGGTACGTGAGTACCTGTCTGTGTACGTGAGTGAGTACCTATCTGGCTACGTGGGTGAGTACCTGGCTGGGTACGTGGGCGAGTACCTGGCTGGGTAGGTGAGTACCTGTCTGGGTACGTGGGTGAGTACCTGGTTGGGTACGTGGGTACCTGTCTGTGTACGTGGGTGAGTACCTGGCTGGGTACATGGGTGAGTACCTGTCTGGGTACGTGGGTGAGTACCTGATTGGGTACGTGGGTACCTGTCTGTGTACGTGGGTGAGTACCTGTCTGTGTACGTGGGTGAGTACCTTGCTGGGTACGTGAGTACCTGTCTGTGTATGTGGGTGAGTACCTGTCTGGGTACGTGGATGAGTACCTGGCTGGGTAGGTGGGTGAGTACCTGGCTGGGTACGTGGGTGAGTACTTGGCTGGGTACGTGGGTGAGTACCTGGCTGGGTAGGTGAGTACCTGTCTGGGTTCGTGGGTGAGGACCTGGCTGAGTAGGTGAGTGAGTACCTGGCTGGGTAGGTGAGTACCTGTCTGGGTACGTGGGTGAGTACCTGGCTTGGTAGGTGAGTACCTGTCTGGGTACGTGGGTGAGTACCTGGCTGGGTACATGGGTGAGTAACTGCCTGGGTACGTGAGTGAGTAACTGGCTGGGTACGTGGGTGAGTACCTGGCTGGGTAGGTGGGTGAGTAACTGGCTGGGTACGTGGGTGAGTACCTGGCTGGGTAGGTGGGTGATTACCTGGCTGGGTACGTGGGTGAGTACCTGGCTGGGTACGTGAGTACCTGTCCGTGTACGTGGGTGAGTACCTGTCTGGGTACGTGGGTGAGTACCTGGCTGGGTACGTGAGTACCTGTGGCGGCACAACGTAGTCTGCTGCATCGAAGACGGCGCTGTCAGCGAGCGCCGCTCCCTTCACTTTGGTGGTGACGGAGCTGAGGACCTCCTCCGAGTCCTGGTACCCACGCTGCACCACGAACACCCAGCTGGGGGTGGGGTCGGTGACTGTGTGAGTACCTGATGAGTACCCTGTGTACCTGTGTGAGTACCCTGTGTGAGTACCTGGTGAGTACCCTGTGTGAGTGACTGTGTGATTACCTGTGTGAGTACCCTGTGTGAGTACCCTGTGTACCTGTGTGAGTGACTGTGTGAGTACCCTGTGTGAGTACCCTGTGTACCTGTGTGAGTGACTGTGTGAGTACCTGTGTGAGTGCCCTGTGTGAGTACCTGTGTGAGTACCCTGTGTGAGTGACTGTGTGAGTACCCTGTGTGAGTACCCTGTGTACCTGTGTGAGTACCCTGTGCGAGTACCTGGTGAGTACCCTGTGTGAGTGACTGTGTGAGTACCTGTGTGAGTACCCCGTGTGAGTACCCTGTGTACCTGTGTGAGTGACTGTGTGAGTACCTGTGTGAGTACCCTGTGTGAGTACCTGTGTGAGTACCCTGTATGAGTACCCTGTGTACCTGTGTGAGTACCCTGTGTGAGTACCTGTGTGAGTACCCTGTGTGAGTGACTGTGTGAGTACCCTGTGTGAGTACCCTGTGAGTACCTGTGTGAGTACCCTGTGTGAGTACCCTGTGTACCTGTGTGAGTACCCTGTATGAGTACCCTGTGTACCTGTGTGAGTGACTGTGTGAGTACCTGTGTGAGTGCCCTGTGTGAGTACCTGTGTGAGTACCCTGTGTGAGTACCCTGTGTACCTGTGTGAGTACCCTGTGTGAGTACCTGTGTGAGTGCCCTGTGTGAGTACCTGTGTGAGTACCCTGTGTGAGTACCCTGTGTGAGTGACTGTGTGAGTACCCTGTGTGAGTACCCTGTGTGAGTCACTGTGTGAGTACCCTGTGTGAGTACCCTGTGTGAGTACCTGTGTGAGTACCCTGAGTGAGTGACTGTGTGAGTACCTGTGTGAGTACCCTGTGTGACTACCTGTGTGAGTACCCTGTGTGAGTACCTGTATGAGTACCCTGTGTGAGTGACTATGTGAGTACCTGTGAGTACCCTGTGTGAGTACCTGTGTGAGTACCCTGTGTGAGTGACTGTGTAAGTACCTGTGTGAGTACCCTGTGTACCTGTGTGAGTACCCTGTGTGAGTACCCTGTGTGAGTACCTGTGTGAGTACCTGGTGAGTACCCTGTGTGAGTACCTGTGTGAGTGACTGTGTGAGTACCTGTGTGAGTACCTGTGTGAGTACCTGTGTGAATACCCTGTGTGAGTGACTGTGTGAGTACCCTGTGTGAGTACCTGTGTGAGTGACTGTGTGAGTACCCTGTGTGAGTGACTGTGTGAGTACCTGTGTGAGTACCTGTGTGAGTACCTGTGTGAATACCCTGTGTGAGTGACTGTGTGAGTACCCTGTGTGAGTGACTGTGTGAGTACCCTGTGTGAGTGACTGTTTGAGTACCCTGTGTACCTGTGTGAGTATCCTGTGTACCTGTGTGAGTATCCTGTGTGAGTACCTGTGTAAGTACCCTGTGTACCTGTGTGAGTGACTGTGTGAGTACCCTGTGTGAGTACCTGTGTGAGTACCCTGTGTGAGTACCCTGTGTGAGTACCTGTGTGAGTACCCTGTGTGAGTACCCTGTGTACCTGTGTGAGTGACTGTGTGAGTACCCTGTGTGAGTACCCTGTGTGAGTACCCAGTGTGAGTGACTGTGTGAGTACCTGTGTGAGTTACTGTGTGAGTTACTGTGCGAGTACCCTGTGTGAGTACCCTGTGTGAGTACCCTGTGTGAGTACCCTGTGTGAGTACCTGTGTGAGTACCCAGTGTGAGTGACTGTGTGAGTACCTGTGTGAGTTACTGTGTGAGTTACTGTGTGAGTACCCTGTGTGAGTACCCTGTGTGAGTACCTGTGTGAGTGACTGTGTGAGTACCCTGTGTGAGTACCCTGTGTGAGTACCGGCAAGTCTCACCCAACAACGTAGGCGACGATGAGGAGTTGGATGAGGCGATTGGCCAAGGAGACTTTACAGCTGTGGATCTTCACGATACGTGGAGTCTCGTACTCACAGAGTCCCCTACTCACGCAGCCCATGGCAGACTCACACACACACAGAGTACTCACACACACAGAGTGCTCACACACACAGAGTACTCACACACACAGAGTACTCACACACAGAGTACTCACACACACAGAGTACTCACACACACAGAGTACACACACACAAACATAGTACTCACAGAGTCCCCTACTCACGCAGCCCATGGCAGACTCACACACACACAGAGTACTCACACACAGAGTGCTCACACACACAGAGTACTCACACACACACAGAGTACTCACACACAGAGTACTCACACACACAGAGTACTCACACACACAGAGTACCCACACAGAGTACTCACATACACAGAGTACTCACACAAACAGAGTACTGACAGAGTCCCCTACTCACGCAGCCCATGGCAGACTCACACACACACAGAGTACTCACACACACAGAGTACTCACACACAGAGTGCTCACACACACAGAGTACTCACACACAGAGTACTCACACACAGAGTACTCACACACACAGAGTACCCACACAGAGTACTCACATACACAGAGTACTCACACAGAGTACTCACAGAGTCCCCTACTCACGCAGCCCATGGCAGACTCACACACACACACAGTACTCACACACAGAGTACTCACACACAGAGTACTCACACACAGAGTACCCACACAGAGTACTGACACACACAGAGTACTGACACACACAGAGTACTCACACAACACAGAGTACTCACACACACAGAGTACTGACACACACAGAGTACTGACACACAGAGTACTCACACACACACAGAGTACTGACACACACAGAGTACACACACACACAGTGCTCACACACACAGAGTACTCACACACAGAGTACTCACACACAGAGTACTCACACACAGAGTACCCACACAGAGTACTCACATACACAGAGTACTCACACAGAGTACTCACAGAGTCCCCTACTCACGCAGCCCATGTCAGACTCACACACAGAGCACTCACACAGAGTACTCACACACACAGTACTCACACACACAGAGTACTCACACACAGAGTACTCACACACACAGAGTACTCACACACACAGAGTACTCACACACACAGAGTACTCACACACACAGAGTACTCACACACACACAGAGTACTGACACACACAGAGTACTCACACACACAGAGTACTCACACACACAGAGTACACACACACAGAGTACTCACACACAGTACTCACACACACAGTACTCACGGAGTACTCACACACACAGAGTACTCACACATAGAGTACTCACAGAGTACTCACACACACAGTACTCACACACAAAGTACTCACAGAGTACTTACACACAGAGTACTTACACACACAGAGTACTCACACACACAGAGTACTCACACACACACAGCGTACTCACACACACAGTACTCACACACACAGTACTCACACACAGAGTACTCACAGAGTACTCACACACACAGTACTCACACACAGTACTCACAGAGTACTCACACACACAGAGTACTGACACACACAGAGTACTCACACACAGAGTACTCACACACACAGTACTCACACACACAGTACTCACAGAGTACTCACACACACAGAGTACTCACACACAGAGTACTCACAGAGTACTCACACACACAGTACTCACACACACAGTACTCACAGAGTACTCACACACAGAGTACTGACACACACAGTACTCACAGAGTACTCACACACAGTACTCACACACAGTACTCACAGAGTACTCACACACACAGAGTACTCACACACAGAGTACTCACAGAGTACTCACACACACAGAGTACTCACATACACAGAGTACTCACACACACAGTACTCACACACAGAGTACTCACACACACACAGAGTACCCACACAGAATACTCACACACACAGAGTACTCACACACACAGTACTCACACACAGAGTACTCACACACAGAGTACTCACACACAGAGTACTGACACACACAGAGTACTGACACACACAGAGTACTCACACAACACAGAGTACTCACACACACAGAGTACTGACACACACAGAGTACTGACACACACAGAGTACTGACACACAGAGTACTCACACACACACAGAGTACTGACACACACAGAGTACACACACACAGAGTACTCACACACACAGAGTACTCACATACACAGAGTACTCACACACACAGTACTCACACACACAGTACTCACAGAGTACTCACACACACAGAGTACTCACACACAGAGTACTCACAGAGTACTCACACACACAGAGTACTCACATACACAGAGTACTCACACACACAGTACTCACACACAGAGTACTCACACACACAGAGTACCCACACAGAATACTCACACACACAGAGTACTCACACACAGAGTACTCACACACACACAGTACTCACACACAGAGTACTCACACACAGAGTACTCACACACAGAGTACCCACACAGAGTACTCACATACACAGAGTACTCACACAGAGTACTGACACACAGAGTACTCACACACAGTGTACTCACACAAAACACAGAGTACTCACACACACAGAGTACTGACACACATAGAGTACTGACACACACAGAGTACTCACACAACACAGAGTACTCACACACAGAGTACTCACACACACAGAGTACTGACACACACAGAGTACTGACACACAGAGTACTCACACACACAGAGTACTGACACACACAGAGTACACACACACACAGAGTAATCACACACAGTACTCACACACACAGTACTCACGGAGTACTCACACACACAGAGTACTCACACACAGAGTACTCACAGAGTACTCACACACACAGTACTCACACACAAAGTACTCACAGAGTACTTACACACAGAGTACTGACACACACAGAGTACTCACACACAGAGTACTCACACACACACAGCGTACTCACACACACAGTACTCACACACACAGTACTCACACACAGAGTACTCACAGAGTACTCACACACACAGTACTCACACACAGTACTCACAGAGTACTCACACACACAGAGTACTGACACACACAGAGTACTCACACACACAGAGTACTCACACACACAGTACTCACACACACAGTACTCACAGAGTACTCACACACACAGAGTACTCACACGCAGAGTACTCACAGAGTACTCACACACACAGTACTCACACACACAGTACTCACAGAGTACTCACACACAGAGTACTGACACACACAGTACTCACAGAGTACTCACACACAGTACTCACACACACAGTACTCACAGAGTACTCACACACACAGAGTACTCACACACAGAGTACTCACAGAGTACTCACACACAGAGTACTCACATACACAGAGTACTCACACACACAGTACTCACACACAGAGTACTCACACACACACACAGAGTACCCACACAGAATACTCACACACACAGAGTACTCACACACAGAGTACTCACACACACAGTACTCACACACAGAGTACTCACACACAGAGTACTCACACACAGAGTACTGACACACACAGAGTACTGACACACACAGAGTACTCACACAACACAGAGTACTCACACACACAGAGTACTGACACACACAGAGTACACACACACACAGAGTAATCACACACAGTACTCACACACACAGTACTCACGGAGTACTCACACACACAGAGTACTCACACACAGAGTACTCACAGAGTACTCACACACACAGTACTCACACACAAAGTACTCACAGAGTACTTACACACAGAGTACTGACACACACAGAGTACTCACACACACAGAGTACTCACACACACACAGCGTACTCACACACACAGTACTCACACACACAGTACTCACACACAGAGTACTCACAGAGTACTCACACACACAGTACTCACAGAGTACTCACACACACAGAGTACTGACACACACAGAGTACTCACACACACAGAGTACTCACACACAGTACTCACACACACAGTACTCACAGAGTACTCACACACACAGAGTACTCACACACAGAGTACTCACAGAGTACTCACACACACAGTACTCACACACACAGTACTCACAGAGTACTCACACACAGAGTACTGACACACACAGTACTCACAGAGTACTCACACACAGTACTCACACACACAGTACTCACAGAGTACTCACACACACAGAGTACTCACACACAGAGTACTCACAGAGTACTCACACACACAGAGTACTCACATACACAGAGTACTCACACACACAGTACTCACACACAGAGTACTCACACACACACAGAGTACCCACACAGAATACTCACACACACAGAGTACTCACACACAGAGTACTCACACACACAGTACTCACACACAGAGTACTCACACACAGAGTACTCACACACAGAGTACTGACACACACAGAGTACTGACACACACAGAGTACTCACACAACACAGAGTACTCACACACACAGAGTACTGACACACACAGAGTACTGACACACAGAGTACTCACACACACACAGAGTACTGACACACACAGAGTACACACACACAGAGTACTCACACACACAGAGTACTCACACACACAGAGTACTGACACACACAGAGTACACACACACACACAGAGTACTCACACACACAGTACTCACGGAGTACTCACACACACAGAGTACTCACACACACAGTACTCACGGAGTACTCACACACACAGAGTACTCACACACAGAGTACTCACAGAGTACTCACACACACAGTACTCACACACAAAGTACTCACAGAGTACTTACACACAGAGTACTGACACACACAGAGTACTCACGCACACAGAGTACTCACACACACACAGCGTACTCACACACACAGTACTCACACACACAGTACTCACAGAGTACTCACACACAGAGTACTCACACACAGAGTACTCACAGAGTACTCACACACAGAGTACTGACACACACAGTACTCACAGAGTACTCACACACAGTACTCACACACACAGTACTCACAGAGTACTCACAGAGTACTCACACACACAGAGTACTCACATACACAGAGTACTCACAGAGTACTCACACACACAGAGTACTCACATACA